CCTTGGGGAACACCACTAACAACCTCAGACCATTCAGAGTATGAATCATTGATCACCACTCTCTGAATAGGGTCTTTAAGCCAGTTTTCTATCCAATTACAGATCGAATACTCTATACCTACTGACCTTAACTTATACATTAGCCTCATGTGGGGAACTGTGTCAAACGCTTTTGTAAAGTCCAAGTATACTATATCCACAGCCATTCCTTTGTCCAATTTTGTACTCACTTCCTCATAAAAAGAAAGTAGGTTTGTTTGACAACTTCTGTCTTTTGTGAATCTGTATATTTGCTATTTGACATATTTACTATAGATCTGCTTAACTAGCTTCCATAATCTCCAAAGCAACTAATTTTTTGGTGTCTGGATTAAAATTTCTCTACAGAATGTGGCCAATAGCAAATTGAAACTTGGGCTTCCATTATAAAATTGGTTAGACCTAAATCTCCCAAAATGAGCTGAAATGTGCTAAGGTGTGATATGATGCAGCATTGTTAATGATAGCTTGCCCATGTATAGGATATGAGAAGACAACTTTTGAGCACATCATCAATCAAACATATTCAGCTTATTGCAGCCTGTGAGTATTTGTTTATCCATAGGAAAACAGAAAGATCTTTTTGCTGGTTATGTGCCAAACTCAATGTCACAATATGCTGTGCCTTACTGTCATGTAAGGTACATATGCATGTTTAAGGATGAAAAGATTGCCTTATGTTAAATTTATGGTTAGCCTATGTTCTCCAAGACAATGTAAATAACATGATAATTTCAGAGGAAAATACAGGTGGTTGGACCTTTGTTATTAAATAAGTATCTGGGGTAGGGGCACCGTTATCATTCTGGTAACATTTTTAACTGGAATTTGTTTTAATTCATTAGCTTGAATCAGTGTATCTGCAGTAATTCTGTATACTCAACATTTTAGAATTTCATCTGCTTCAGTGTCGAGATCAATGTTTCTATTTATTCAGGGACATTTGCACAAAAGAACTTTTTTAAGCCAAGTCAAAGTACCCTACATCAGCTCCATATGTTCAAGCTTACTTTTAAATACCATTAAAAAAGCACTTAGCATTTATATGCGTCCGACTCCTATAGCAGTCTGCTTTGGAAGTGTAGCAAAGAAACTAAATAGCCCCAGAAGCTATGTGTCATAAATCATTTTTGTCCATATTTGCTATTGATACATCTTCTTCATCACTGTCAGACATGTCGACTAATTTTGGCTTTGAAATCTTTACTACTCCACTTTTATAAATGAACAATTAATAATACACATTCCCATGAAGAGTTTTGAATTTGCTAAAGGTCGCTTGTCTCTGCATCATGTATCGCTTTCCACTATATGTTTCAAGTTTGATTTACAGATAACAATACGTTGATCATGCAAGTTCTCACCTACATAAATAGCACATTGTGGGAAAGTTCTGCTCTTTACTTGTAAGTAGAGAAAAAGCATTTAGCAACTCACTCCCCCACCCCCCTTGCCGAGCTACACACAAAACATCTGGAATTTATGGAAACATTAAGTGACTCTTAAGAAGCAAAGCAGGCAGCCATATTGTTTTTTGTAGAAACAAATAAGTTATCTGTAAGAGTAAGTAACTTAGAAGAAGGTAAACACACACACCAGTACTACTTTTTTGAGGTACCCATTTAAAATTGATCACCTTAAACGGTTATTTTACTAAACAGAGTACTTTCTGTCCTTCTAGTAGATATGTTTTTGGTGTGATGAGGTTAGGAATATTTGCATTAATGAAGCTGCTGAAGCTGCACACTAAACCTTCTTAAAGGCATTTGGTTCATTAAGGTCAGCGTCGTGTACAGCGTCTCATACATGTTAGTAGTAGCAGTATTTGCTGGATCACCACCTCTGCACTCATGAGTGTGTACAGCTGGTTATTATTGATTCCTAAATAAATAGTTAATAAAAGCACAAATGGCAGGCCATTTCTAGTGGGTCTTTAGATGGGACAACAGAAACATTTCGAAGAAGCCCTCTTCCTCTAAGGAGCAAGGCTGGGAACAGTTACTGGGGTTTTATTCAGAGGCAGCCATCATGAAGGTGGAGGGGAAAAAACAGTGCGGTATGAAAAGGTTGGTGTAGAAGGTTGTGGCAGTAAAGCATGACAGCTAAGAGCTTTGGATAAAACTCAGAACTGATGTGTGAGTTATATTTCAACTTTGGTTGCTACAACCTGAGCTCTGGAAGGTGTCTGAAAGCAAAAGGTCTGATTTACTAAATTGTGAATGGGAACAAAGTCAGGTGAAGTGAGGTAAAATCAACTGAAACCTGGTCAGATTTATTATTATGAAAAGTAAACAGAAGTGAACTTGTGTCCATGTCAAATATTTAGCCAACTTAAGGGAATGTGAATTTTTTTTAAAACTACTTTTGCACAACTGGAGGTTTGATGTGGACATGAGTTCAATTCAGCTGACTTTACACTTTTGTAAGACTGTCCCAATTTCACTGCAATTCACTGCACTCCCCATTCACACAATAGCAAATCGAGCCCAATGTTAGAAGGTTGAATCAGGAATTGTGCATGCTTTGTTTGGGCACATAAAGATATGAACGGCACTCCATTAATTTGGCCACCAAATTAGGCTACCAAGCCCTCAGTACAATGAGCAGATAATAAATGCCTTTACATATAGTCTGTACCAGTCTGTTGGTTATAAGAATATAATCACACTCTGAAATATTCATAGGTAAATTAAAGTATTGACAGCAGACATTTAAGGAACATACTGGAACACTGTACTCATATACATGAAGGTTTATCACAAATATGTGTTTAGATAAATGTTAAAGTAGAACTCCGGGCAAAAATATTATTAACCCCTGCAATGGGGCTTTTCTACTGCAATGGTATGTCCATCGATCTCCTCACATCCTGTACACTGTGTATTGGACATGATGACTCGAGGATCCTTAGACCGCTGCAGCCGAGAGAGAGAGGTGCTGGAAGTACCAGTCTAACAGCAAGCTGACTCTGTGGATCAGGTGAGTATAACTTTTTTTATTTTCAGCCCTAGACACAGCCAACACCGCAAGAGTTATTAATATTTTTTGCCCCTGAGTTCTGCTTTAAACAACTAGAAATACAGTTTTTGTGAAATATGAGTAGAAACTGACCTATGTGGGTACTGATACTGTCCCTATATTCGTGGATACATAAGATAATTGATATTGGATATAAATGGATGTATTAGACATTATTGTGTAAATCCAATAGCAAGCAAGGCTATAGCCCATGTAGTTTTCTGTTTTCAGACTGGCCTCATAGTCCTCAAAATGTAGTATTTCTTGGAATTCTCATAAGTGAAAAATACTGTCATGGAAAGCACCTGGATTGTGTGTCTGAATTGTATGTTTCAACTTTGTGTAACGTGGCTATTTGCCATTATGCTTCTTAAATGATAAAATGCCAAGGCCAATGTTCCTGATGTTGGATGCCTTTGATTTTTTTGGACAGTGCCATACAGGGTATAGATTAGCAGTGCAGGTGGCATGAAATGAAAGTATTCATATATAAATAGGCCCTCCAACTATATAAGCAGCAATGTGCTCCTATCAATCTGGTTCACATTAGGACTGGGGTGTAAGGGCCAGTGCAGTGTTTCATTCTCTGTAAACACAGCACTGTGTACATCTACAAAAATAAAATATATAATGTAGACAAAGCAACATTGTCCCATAGGTGCATTAGTGGAACATCCATTAAGTCCCTAGAACATGTCCGTGGGGAACCATTTATGTATTTAATTATTGGAGTGCAATTATTTCCTCTGGGGTAAATATCACTCCTGTTTAGTCTGTGAAGATTCTCACTCATCCAGGTCATGGTCTATCTTTAAAACATTTTCTTGAAGACATTTCACTGGTCATCCAACCAGTTTTCTGAATTGAGAAAGCTGGTTGGATGACCAGTGAAACGTCTTCAAGAAAAATACAGCAAGTCCAGTTGCCTTGACTTAATTTTTACAGATACTCCTGTTTAGTGTTTTTTAATGGTAGACTCATAAACATAGATGGTATCACGTAGGCATAATCCTATGGTTCTTTGTTACCTGTTGCAGGATTTAACACGGACTTGTACTGATCTCTGTATGCCCACCTCTTTCAGCTGAGCTAAATCTCTTTCATTTCTAAAATATCCAACTGTCTAGTGTGGACTGCTGGGGTCTTACAATGTATCTAACCCCCCAAAAATTAACATATAGCAGTTCACTAGTCCTTAGATGTGATATCTGAATTAGTTTTCTTTTTGTCAGCCTTTATTGCTTTATTTTCACTTAATGATCCTGTCAATAACACACTTCCTGTCCTAGGGTGACAGTGCTCACTTACTGTACTGTATCGAGAGCTGAAACAATATATGCATGTGCTTAGGGCACCAAAGGAAGGGTGCACCACAGAGTTTGTCCCCTAGCTGTCCTGCCCTTTAGGCACAAATGTACTTATCTTTGTTTGCCCTTTGCCTTGAGCTAACCAAAGACCTGGAAGAACACTGATGAAGGTTTATATATTGTTTTCCTTTTAGTTTACTTATTGAGTCTTAATGTCTTGTCAGTTAAGCAATGGAGGGACCGAGGGGGGCAACGTTGTTAGGATTTGCTTAGGGCATCAGTTGTAATTAATCTAGCCCTGACTGTATCTATGGAGGAACAACATTATCACCCTAGTACAAGAAGTGTTAACCCATAATGGCATTCAACAGACATTGGTTATAAAGCTATGTTAGGTGGTGCATGTTAGGTGCTTTAACCAATTATTTTGACTTGGATATCAGACCACATTTCACAGGCCATATAAGGAGAAATTCATAAAGCATCAATGAGTTAACAAACATTTTCTCAACACTGTATGTGCAAACCAGAATATTATAAATAATAGACTACATAAGTAAAGTATTGGGATTATAAACTGTATGCAACTGTACATAAGTTTTTTATTCAATTTTGTGCTTTTGTTTTCCCTTGCAGACGAATGTTTCCCAGCTACAAAGTTAAAGTCACTGGGATGAACCCCAAGACTAAATACATTCTACTCATAGACATTGTTCCAGCTGATGACCACCGGTACAAATTCTGTGACAACAAATGGTAAGAAATATTTTTGTTTAACAAATGTTGATCTATTTGTCCAAACATTCAATCATGGACTTCACTTCAGATTCAGTGCAGCAAAGAAATCCCTTTTTATTACTAAAGATACTCACTAGTAATATACATGTGGAGATAATTTGCAACAATCACATTGTAATATGATAAAAAAAGCCCCAAAAATATTTAAACATCAAAATGATGCCCTGCAAAGGGATTTAAATGTGGCTGACAACTTGCTTCAGATGTTACACGTTTCTGTGATGTCCAGCTAATTCTGACATACAGATGTAATTAGTTTGTTGCCACTATCATATGGCTTATAGTTGGTTGGTAAAGGATCTATCAATATATGAATAGAAAGATAGATAGATAGATAGATAGATAGATAGGTATTAGGGCGGCAGCTAACGATTATTTTCATATCGGATATGTATATATATATATATATGTACAGTATAAATATATATATACATATATACATACATACATACATACATATATATATACACATATACACACACACACACACACTGCATGTTCAAATTATCCCATGTAAAATCTGATATAGCACTGTGGGCCTGCTCATTGCTTGCATGTTACCAAGGCAACAATGCAAGGACAGGTCATGTAAGGTTTGTGATCTATTTAAAAATAGAAATCAGTGCAATTTCTACCTCCCTACCCCTCTTCTCTGCAGCATATTATTTTTTTCAGCACTGCAGGTACTTTTTAATAGCTACTGTGTATTCTTTTTTTTTTAATTCAATACTTTTTTATTTGAATAATACAATAAATAGAACAAACGTATACATCCATAATTACATATTAAAACAGCAATACAAAACAGATAACAATACAGACAGACCCACAAGGGGGGAGGGGGAAAACACCTCTCCTTATAAAATTAATTTTACTCTCAACATACCATATTTCTAAAGCCACATTACTCTTCAGAGTACCAATAATAAATAGGAGAGATATTATACAAGAGATATTATACCCAAGGTCCTTTACCATATTCAATCCACTTATCCCACATTTTACCATATTTGTCCATGGTACCTCTGTGCTTGAACATAATTCCCTCAAATCTAACCACTTTATCTAGTTCTTTCTTCCATTCCTCTAATGTGGGAGGCGCTGCTGAAATCCACCTAAGGGCTATACTGCGCCGGGCTACGAATAGAGCCCTCGTTATTGCCACCTTTGTGTAATATTCCACCTTTATGGGTCCCAAAATACCCAGGATACATAACATGGGATTATTAGAAATATGGACTCCAAAGGCTGCATTTATTATGTCTACTATTTCCTGCCAATATCGTTTCAGCTTCGGGCATCGCCACAGCAGATGTATTAACGAATCAGGTTCAACCCCACACTTTGGACATTTAGAATTTTCAATATATGAATAGATAGATAGATAGATAGATAGATAGATAGATAGATAGATAGATAGATGTTCCTCAATTCCTAGTGACACAGTTATTTGTCCTTTTGCTACCTGGTATTTAATGGGCTAATAACAGTTTGTAAATCATATATTGGTTTGTTCCCTGGTGTGTATAGCAGGTTAAAGTAAGTAAAAAATTAGGTGTCCCTTGATAACCGTTGATTACCCACAGGGTTATTCACTAAAGGGTGAAGAGTTTGGAGATGGTAGGAGAAGTGAACAATCTAGGACAACATAGCTGATTTGGAAAAATTCTCCAATTTAGCTTACTTTCCAGTTCAGCTGTGTTGTCCTAGATTGTTCACTTCTCCTGCCTTCTCCAAACTCTTCACCCTTTAGTGAATAACCCTGCTAGTGTCTATTGGTATTGAATAGGTTGTCATTTAAATTACTTTCTCCTTCATTGCCTGCCATCTAGGATAAAATCACTTGACAAAATGCCAAAACCTGTTTAGAGTTGCCATAACCTGTCCGGTACTATATACAGTATTTCTTTATGCGCTATGGTTTGGTACATCTAATGCAGAATTCTCAAAAAGGATCTTTAGTTCTAGTTTGCATCACTATAAAACTAATCAAAGTAAGAGGGAATGTAATATATTGTACCTTAGGAAGACATTCTAGAGTATTATAATATGCTGCCCTATATGCAGCCAGAAAGATGAAACATTTTTAACTTGTTTAAGTAAGCCAGCCAAAAACTTGGAAAGTTCAATTCAGTGCATATCGTAAAACAATGCATAGGCCAACGTTATGCTTAGTTTGATTACCATTTAGGTAGAGTAGGCCTATAGGTGATAGAGGCAATGAGGTAGTTTCTTCTAGTATAGTTATCAGCCAATTCGTCTCCATCATCAGCAGAAAGAGTCATCTCTAGTGATGGGCAAATCTGCCCAGGTTCGAGTCGCCTGGGGTTCTGCAAACCTGAACTGAAACGAGAATCCCACTCAAGATTGTTTGTTAAAATCTGGGCATTTATAGGGCTAATAGGCAATGGCAAGCTAGACACTGTCATGGGGGACATATACCAATGCAAATAAAAATTAAAACGTGTATTTTATGCGGCTTCAAGGGCAAGATTGAAAATACATAAATGATTTAAATACGTTTTGGGGATTCCTTATAACTGTATGTGGTGTTACAGAACAGTGTGATTTTCACATACAGTCTCAGCAACAGCGTATACATATTTGGCTGTGAAATTCAATTTTTTTTAACATAGGTCAACTAGTGTTAGGTTTAATAATCCTTCAAATGCTTATAAATTAGGCACCTTTTTCCATTTACAGGATGGTGGCTGGAAAAGCAGAACCTGCAATGCCTGGAAGGTTATATGTTCATCCAGATTCCCCAGCAACTGGAGCTCACTGGATGAGACAGCTGGTGTCATTTCAAAAATTAAAGCTGACCAACAACCATCTTGATCCCTTTGGACATGTAAGAATAAATTAAATTGTTTTTATATGATTAATGAAACATAGTAGAGTGACAAATTACTCTCAGAATTTACAATCTATTATATTATTTGCAGGTGACCAACTATCGTCTAGCATATGTACATCTAATGCAAAGTATAATGCATGTTCTACCGTGTGCATTTTGTTTACCTTGTAATGGGCCAGTTTGTGTTTTTCCTGTGTACTGGTTTGATTATTACTAGGGAGGCACAGATACTTTTCGAGTACCAGTACAAATATTTGGCATTTTCATGAGAACTACCAGGGTTGCAGTGGTTGCAGCTGGGACCTGGCTCTGGCACTCCACCACTGTCCTGAAATCATTAGTCTGTATTGTTTTAGAAAAACCGTCACATGACAATAAACAAAAATGTATCAGTACTCGTACTTGTAAGTACTCGGCAAGTACCAGTACTCGTACTCGCAAAACTGGTATCGGTGCATCCCTTTATTTCTAAAAACAAAATCATACATTAAAACAGAGATGTACAAATCCCAGGAGCTCTGTGTGCTCCTTACAAATGACAGCTGCCTACTAATTTTTGAATTTTTCTCTAGTCTAGTCTTGGAGCTCAAAAGTATCGGTACATGTACTCGTACTTGTACCGAGTACTGTACTTGGTATCTGTGCAACCCTAATTATTACCTGCTTAGATTTTAATTTTTTTACATAAAAGATGAAAATCATAGATCTCTGTTTGGGATGTTCCTGGTGTGGAAATGAAAGTTGCATGACATTTATATTTATATAATTGGCTTCAATACCTGACTTGACACAAGTGTGCAGATCAGCAGAACTCATTTTTCTCTGACTTCAATTGCTGCATGCTTGTTACAGGCCATTGACTCAAAGTATAAAGTCAAGAGACAGCCAGGCAACTAATATGTGCAAAAATGGGTCTATTTTTTTCAGTGGTTTTCTTCAGCGTGTTATAAAGACACAGATCTATTGCACGTAAGGGTGTTATGCCAGGCGCTATGGCTAAAGTTACACAGTAATTGCAAGAAGGAGCAGGCACGTAACACTTGGAACATGCTCCACATACTCCCTGAGAAGGGAAGCCTGGAGCAGTTAATGGCCAACCATCAACCATAAAAATATATTCCGCTAATGTCAATAAATTCTCATTTTTAATACATTTTTGATAATATAGCAGGTAAAATTCTCTTTTTTATAAATCCCTCATACATAGAGGATTCATTGAGTGTTTAATAATCATCATCATCATAATTATTATTATGATGATGATGCTGATTATTATTAATATTATTATACAGGATTTATATTGTGCCAACAAATCGCACTGCCCTTTACAAAATTAAGGTAGACAGTACTGTTACAATACAATTCAATACAGGAGGGTTAGGAGGGCCCTGCTCATGAGAGCTTACAATCTAGTAGATCTTTAGTAGTAGTAGTAGTGCTTTTTCAAAGGTTTTTAGTGTTGTCTGCATCCCCCTATACATAGTTACATAGTATTTGAGGTTGAATAAAGACATTAGTCCAACATTCACTTTATTTGTCCTGCTGAACATTGACATTGGCACTGAAAGTGAGGGAAAATCCCAAATTTTTAAGGAAATATTTGGAATGAAACACAGATGGCATAAAAGAAAAACTGATGGCATTTTAACTATTCTATACTGTGTGTACAATGAAAAAAAGTGCAGATACACATGGACTGATTTATAAAAGCTCCACCCAGTGTATAGTTGGGTGGATGTGCCCTACCACCCCTATTTCATGCTAAGGAGCATTGGAATTCCTTTGCTTCTCAGTGCCATTTAGGGGTGCTAGGGCCACACAATCGGCATCCACCCAGCGTATAGCATTATATAATTATTTATATAACATTTGACACTAAAGCCCTGAAAGAATAGTTGCAAAAAAAAGACAAGTCTAAAATGTCAATTAGGCCTAGTCATTCCTCTAGGATTAAGGACTCTAACAGTTGTGCCTCTATTACCTCCTGCAATCCTCGAGATTTTGCAGACAGAGGTTATTTTGTGCGTAGCCCCTATATAAGTTGCTACGGAATTAGCTAGAATTCTGTTTGTAAATAGTTAACTGATCTTGTGCAGCCCGTGATACAGAGACTTGTTGGAGTTGCAGTACAGAGCTTGGGACAAGCTGTGCTGTGAGAGACTGTTGATACCACAATTTCCAAGAGGCCCTGCTTTCAGCAGTAGGGGAGATTATGGGCTGGAGTTGCTGAGGGCGCTCAGTCCAAGAGAACTTAGTCATGGACACAGATCTGTGTGGCTGCCGCTGACACAGAGGAGCCATAGACTGTGTGTGAGTTTGTCTAGGGGAGTGTACACAGACTGAAGAACATCGGCATAGAAAGACTTCAGTCTGGTCTGCTGCAATCAAGAGTCGTTTGGTTGATCGCTTCTGCCGGGCACAGCGTAAACTACACAGCAGGGATATCGCGGCCTGGACAAACGGTCACGCCCAGTCAGTGAGGGATGCATAGAGGCCAACTAGTGTGTCGGCTTGAGAGAAAGGGGATGCCCGTCTCTCGCTGACGGGCATCACAGCTGCAAGCCTGACTTTGGATGTGGTGAGAGGCCTCTGGCTATTTGTGTTATTTCTACAACTCACTTCAGCAACACAGTATGGGCCCCAACGATGGCTAGCCTAGACTATTGTTACTGGCCAGTAGTAAAGAGAGCTGGAGTAAATAGGACTGAGACATTAGCAATCAGGTATTCAAAGTCAAAGATAGCAACTGAGATAGTTCAGTACTGCATATCTCTGTATATATATATATATATATAGCCGCGGCTGCTTAGTGTCTGAATACCCAATGTATATTGCTGAATGTCGTTTCCTTCAATTATTGTGTTTTCATTATTCAGTGCTTAACGAATATATACTATTTGCTTAGTAAAGTTATTACAAAACTCCCTAAGGTGTGTTGGTGTGCTGTGGATCCTGTTTGGGTGGTACATTCTGGCTTAGGGACAGAAATACCCGGGTTATTCTGGCGGCTCCTTCAGGGAGTGAGCGCGACATTTAAAACTCTAGATTTTCTCAAGTTAGATAGATATTGTATGTGCCAAACAGACCCAGAGCCTCTGTTTTTGCAAAAATAGCATTGTCAAAAAATCTATTCTATAGTTCATATAGTATTCTATATATACATCTCTTAGTGAAGACCATATAGCAATAAACTCTATTCGTATTTTTGAATGTAGATGGACAGTTCCTATCTGTTGGAGATAGTCTTTCCATCTGTTTATAAGCTGCTGTGGTGTTTATAAGAAACTACACAGCCTTTGTGCATGAAATGTGTGCGTCTCTTGAGACAGGTTTCTTTGAAAGTGCCACCATGAAAAGGGCATCGGCTGTCAATTTTCATCTATTCTTAATAGCCAATTTAGGAACGTATGTGTTCCACTGTGCATGAGACGTCCTCTGCAAACTATAGCCTTTCTTTAAGTCCTAACCACTGAACTTGTTTTGTCAAGTTGTTCAACCAGTAAAACTCTTAAAAAACACTGTCCAGTTCATACTGTTCAATAAATAACTAGACCACAAACTGTAATCCATCTATTTTCCCCTGTGGGAAATTATATCGTCCTGAGCAGGGAAACGCTTACAGCTGATTCTTTGTCAGGACATCAGTCTTTTAAGCCCAACAGTCTAAGTTCCCATGAATTATTAATACCAAATTTCAAGTTAGTAGCTGGATCAAGCCACCAGCATCTATGCATAAAAAAAACATAACCTGATTCAAAAAGAAATGAACTCTTTCAAAAATGTATTCCTCAATAGATATGCTTCATATTTTTATAGATTTTGGAACTCAAAAGGAACACTAATTTCCCCCTCCCCCTCATGCCTGGTTATGGCCCAGTGAAAGTCTGCAGTCACAGAACCAAATATAGAAAAAAATGCTTTTTCAACAATTTTTACAACAAATGCTTTTTCCTTTTGAGCTATGATGAACCCTAGAGTGTCCCCTGCTGGAGGAAATGTATACAACTTATTATGTATACAAATATATAGATAGCACCAAAATATTGGGAAAAATTAAAAAATGCAAAAATTTAAATGAAATCTGTTAGGCTGGGTTCACACCTGGGCGTTACTATAGGAGCGTTTTATGCACCTTTTTTCAGCTCGTTTTTAGTAAGTTTTTAGCACGTTTTTTGGTTCAGTGAAACGCGTGTTCGACGCTCTTTTTTAAACCTCCCTGGTGGTATGATTTTTTTTTAATTTTCTTTTTTTCGTTTTTTTTAACTTTCAAACTTCCCGCCGGTTCCTCCCCCCTGCAAAGCGGATGCTCGCAAGGGACGGAACCCGGAAGACGGCAGCGGCCGGAGGACACAGCGGGGATCGCGGACAAGGTAAGAACTACGCTGTATTCCCGAGTGTGGCTCGGGGGTACTGCTTTGTTAACCCCCGCGCCACACTCGGGGAAACCAATGGATACGCTCTGAAATACGCCCCAAAGAAGCTCCTGTACTTGTTTGGGCGTAGAGCGTTTTTCAGCGCATCAAAACGCGCTGAAATATGCCAAGGTGGGAACCATGCCCATAGGAGTTAATAGGATTTCACTGCTTGAACGTTTTTCAGTGCTTCGATCAACGCTAAAAAACGCCCTGGTGTGAACCCAGCCTTATGAAGGAAACATGGAGGCTGCCACCACTCTCCTTTTAAAAATGTCAATTCCTTAGCTGTTATTCTGATCTCCTTGGTCCCGATACTATCTGAGTCACTGAGCTGCAATGTTGAAACATAAAGTACTGAAGGCGGTGGGTCAACACACCATCCAAGTAACTGGTATTTTTAGGATGTGAAAATTGTCTGTTCCCTTAAATCTCATGTCAGGTTTGCTTTCATGTTAACAATTTTAATGCATTTTGCATGTGTATACAACATTTTGAACAGGTAACTAATTCATTTTTCCTAATTGACTTGTATTTGTATTTGGTGGACTGTTGAAGTACCAGTACAACCTCTCTTCACAC